TCCCAGCACTAGGGAGGCTGAGGCAGGAGGATCATTGCGAGTTCAAGACCAGCCTGGGCTACAAAGTGAGCTCAAGGCCAGCCTCAGCTGCATAGTGAAACTCTGTCTCAAAAAGACTAAATAAATAAATAAATAAAATTAAGACTAGAATCTTTAGAAGAGCAAAAAGAGAAGCCATAAATTGGTAGAAGATAATTGCATCTTTGTAAGCAACATAAATTCTTATTTATTTACTGGGGATTGAGTACAGGGCCTTCACACTGAATTACATCCCCAAACTCTCTGCCCTGCTATTTAAGAGTCTTGTTTACTCTGTAAATTGCCCAGGTTGAGCTTAAAGTTGCAGTTCTCCTGCCTCAGCATACCAGAGTCCTAAGATTATAGGTACACCACCATGCATGTTTTAAGTACTATTTAAATTCTCTAGAGATTAAAAGCTGTGTAAGAAACTCAAACCACCCAGATTCACAACCTAAGGGTGTGTGTGGGGGGCGCGGAACAAACTCACAAAGAGAAAAGAAACCATGAATGAGAAAAAAATATATTTAGAAGAAAATTCCGCTCGTGGGGCTGGGGATTTAGCTCAGCGGCAAAACACCTGCCTGGCAAATGCAAGGTCATGAGTTCAATTCCTGGTACCGGAAGAAAAAACCAAAAAACCCAAAAAAACAAAAAAGAAAATTCCACTCTTGAATACGATTAGGTAAATATATACTGAGGCAATTATAGGGATGTCATTTGATAACTATCAGATAGGTAAATATTAACTACATATACCCAAGTCTTCTACGGATGGCTGCTGGTGGACATGCAAGTGGTACTCACTTTGGGGTTGTAATTAAACCTACCAACCTTCATATTCTACAACACAAAGACCAGCCTTAATTAGATTTTTAAACACTTTCCATTAAAAAAAAAATCCTAATAACTGCAAACCCTCAAAGAACACACTTGAGATATAGTTGCCGAAGTACACCTACTATAGCAAGTATAAGGTTCAGCGGGGTAATAATCGGATGAAAGTCTTACTCAAAGAAAATTGAAAAAGTGTTAGAAAATAAAATAGTTCAAAGTAGGTAAAGAAAAAATCATGAGAATTCTATTTTTAAACAAGTTTTACTGGAGCCTTGCCGAAACAAGGCCTCAAAAAATTGGTTTAAGACTCAGAGTTGTTCCTCTCCACGGAAATCTTTAGTAAAAGGCGAAAGATTTATACGATCTGAAGAGAAACCAGAGTATGTCTTTTTTTCTGTTAACGCACAGCTCCAGGAACAGAATATCCTACGTCACTGATGGTAGCTATTTAACGGCAAGAGTATTACACAAAGAAAAAAATTTCAAATGGTTTTGCAATTAAAAGTGTCACTCTCACAAATATGCGCCTTAGAAAAGTTTTTAATTTTGCAGATTTAAATTTGTAATGTGCGCAGTGCACTGTGGGTATGCAAATTAGCAGCCTCCCAGCCCTTCGGATTCCGGAAGTAGCTGAGAATTCGCACGGCCCCTTACGTCACCGCTAGGGGGCGAAGCGGAGGACTTGGATGGCTGACGTCTAAACGTCGTCCTGGTCAGAAACCCAGGTTTTGATCCGTTTTGTATTTTTGTACGTCTGAGTTTAATTTCTTTGTTAAACACTGCGATTACATTGGAGAAGCAAATAGCACACAAACGATGGTTGCAAAATTCAGGCTAGTGCTTGCTCCCGTCCGTGGGAGCCAGGGATGCGAGCGGGGCGGGGCGCCGGGGTTCTGTGTATAAATTCGGGTTTCCTTTTCTTTCAGCCGCGCGGTGCCCCACGGTGTCTGGTTGTGGTTGTAGTTTGGTTGTCCGGCGTGTGTGGACATTCTGCATTTTTCCCGTCTGCTGTGTGAGAATTCCTGGCAAGGTTTTTTTGTAATTGGGGTTTCTGCGCCTAGTTTCAGCTTTCCTGCCCCCACCCCTGCTTTGGGGGATGAAATCTGGTTGTTCGTATAAATCCTAAACATCCTTACTTGTGAAAGGGGACCAGCTCCTTCCATCGCTCAGCTGCTGGTGTAGACGGCTCCCCGCCTTTCTGAACTGATCCTCCCCCCATTTCTGACTCCTTTGCTAGCAAGGCGATCATATTTACATGTAAGCGATTTAGATTTAAATTCGACGAATACACTTGAAAGACAGATGTATTGGGCTGGGCGTGGTGGCGCTTGCCTGTAATCCCAGCACTCAGGAGGCAGAAGCAGGAGGATCGTTGAGACTTCGAGGCCAGCCTAGGCTACAAAGTGAGCTCACGGCCAGCCTGAACTGCATAGCGAAACCCTGTCTAAAAAAAAAAAAAAAAAAAAAAAAAAGCAAAGAAAAAAAAAAAGAAAGACAAATGTATTGGGCACAGTGCCAAAGCCATTTGATTCACCACTTTCAAATGTGCAGTGCCATGGTTTTTAGTATATCCACAGAACTGTGCAGTCACACATGTTAGAACATGCTTGTCACCCTAAAAGATGCTCTGTACCCATTCGTGAGCAATTCCAGGTCCCCCGGGTCCCAGCTCCAGCCCCCAGCAAGCGCTCTAAAGTTCCTATTCTGGACGTTCTGTGTAAGCGGCAGTGGACCACATGCACGGGACCTTTTCCTCTGGCTCCGTGTTGACTGGAGATGTTTGCAAGGTTCGTCGCGATCCGCTCGCCTGCTTGCGGTATTTCATAATGTAGCGGGTGGGGAGAGGCTCAGCAGAGGGAGCCTTCCGGTCATGTGAGGATGGCTGCATCCCACGGGGCTTGACTAGGGGATCAGCGGCCAGGAAGGTGACGGTCTAAACTCTTGGACCTCTCTCTCCGCTGGGACTTAGAAGAGAGTGTCCGTGTTTGTAGCTTTTCAGGGGCTTTCATCTCCTGGCCTTTGCTCTGCTTCACTCTGAGAAGTCCTGGGCTTCTCTCACAGGTTAGCGCAGGAAGGCAAACTTTTGGTTTTGGCTACCCAGGCTCCACTGTCAGGGAACTTCCTCGGTTTCTGAATCCTGACTGTGAAAGCGGAGTGGGAAGGGCAGAATCTGCACTTTACTTGTTTAGAGTGCGGCCTGCACTTCCGTTGGTGGCAACAATTCCCTGTTCTCCTTCCTCCTCCTCCTCTTCCTCCCCTTTTTTCTTCTTCATGGTAGTGCTAAACACTGAGTGAGGTAGAACCTCTCGGGTGGAGGGACCTGGGCCCGTGGCAAGCAGCGGCACGGTGAAGAAAGAGACACCTGAGACCAGGCTGATGGCGCAGATCTACTTTATTGCGGAAGTACCAAGTGTTTTATTGAGCAGGCTAGAGGCGTGGCAATGGAGGTGGGCTAGGGGAATGGTTTGGAGGTGGTACTATTGGGAGGGGGCAGTGCGGAAGTAAGAGGGCAGAGCGGGACAGCCTAGGCGGGCGACTCACTTGGTTTGCCGAGGACATGACGAGTCTGAATTTGCTCAGACTCGCTCCTCCGCCAGGGCCATCAACCAGACCTCTGGGCCCCTGTTTCCCACACATTCCCCCTCTTCTTTTATAAAAGCCAATTGAATAGAGGCCATCATAGCCTGTTTAGAGGTTATCATTTGTAACCTGGTACATATCATACGAAGCGCGATAAGTGCAAGGAGTCCTAGAAGTTCCAAGAATCCAAGGGTAAGTAAATTGACTGGTGAGAATAGGCGCCGTAGGTTGTGTAGGAGATCGGAGAGGATGTTATCAGTCAGTATAGGAACTTGGATAGAATTAATGGTTTGTATTTGTTCAGTCAGTTGAAGGGAGAGGTTGAAGTAAGTGCTGTTGCACGGACCAAGGATCCATTCATGGAGTGAGAGACGAGCAGAAGAGAGGTTGGCTGGCTTTGGTGTGACACAAAGTAGGGCCGATGAGAAGCGTTGGTCACAGGCAGTGGTAGCAACGTGCCAAAGTCCTGAAGTTCATTGTCCATGAGGTCAAGTTGTTGGAGATTAAGGAGAGCCATATGGGTATAGGCATTAAGTTGTTGGTGTACTCGGAAAGTTTCAGCGGCTGAGTGGGAAAGACTGTTGAGTCCTTGAGCAGTCACGGTGGATTGGGTGAGCGCGACGGCTGCTGTGGCTCCTGCTGCTGCGGCTGTAATAAAAGCAACAATAAGGGCGGCAATAGCAGAGGCTCCGAAGTCTCTCTTGTGTATCTGTAGGGAGCTGGAAGAAAGCCGGATAGGTAGTGATGGAGCTACCCAATTAGAGATATTAACTGGCACCCAGAGGACAGAGGGGGTGCGAAGGATAAGCATATACAGAGGGGTTCCATTCCAGCAGTTAGACAGATAGCAGGTACCCGCTGAGGAGCAGTTGAAGGTGGCATTCATGGACAAGAGAAGTAAAAAGCGGGGGGGGGGCAACACAGGCTGCTGAAAAGAGTGGTTATATTTGTGAGTGAGGTTAACCAAGGGTGACCAGGAGATGTCGTTGGGGGTCAAGCCCTGTGAACAGAGGGAGCCGACTGAGCTTATCTGGGCCATTTTAGAAGTACACATGGTGGTGGTATCGCCATCGCCACTGATGGCATTTAAGAGGCTAGGGTTGGGAATGGAGTAGGTGCCATTAGCAATAGAGGTACTTCCCATGAGCATTAGCGGAAGAAGGTCGGGGCACCTGAAGGTCCCACATAATTGATGGGAAGAAAATATAGAGCGTCTCCCTGTGAAGGAGAATGGGTTGTGTCCTGTAAAAGGGAGGGATCCGTTTTTCCCAGGGTGAAGAAACGGAGAGGTCCATAGGGCTGTAAAGTGATCATTTGTGAAGGGTTTTTGAGCCGAAAGACAGGGTTCCCAGGTGAAATCTGTAAGCCTAAAGTTAGGATTTAAAGGCATAGGTTTACAAGGGGAGAAGACAGGTTGAGCGGTGTCGTAGTCTTCTACGTCATGTGGGTCCGCCCCCTGGACTTCTGTCATCGAGAGCCAATTGTTTCATCTCTGATGTCAGCGGCTGTGGCTGGCCGGACATCTCGAGCAGGAACCCACACTGGATGAGGTGCTGTTTCTGGAAAGACACAAGCGAAACCTCAGCCTTGGGTTAAGAGTGGGGCTGGGGGCTGCCATGATTGTGTCATGGGATCCTTCCAGCGCACAAGGGGGAGTGGTGTTGGAGGGGCCAGCAATGGGCCCCAATGTTTATGGGCTGGGGAAAGACCTTTGTCATCCAAAGTTAAAAGGTTTATGGTTATAAGAGCTTTTGTTAGCAATTCATCTGGTGTACTCTGGGGGTGTAATTCCCCCTCTTTTTTTATTAAAGTTTTGAGTGTTTGGTGAGTTCTTTCTATGATAGCTTGTCTTTGAGGATTATAGGGAATGCCATGATGTAAGGTTATATTGTATTTGGTACATGTGTTTTTAAAGGATTGACTGGTATAACATGGTCCGTTATCTGTTTTTAAGTCCCATAGAATTCCTAGCATGAGGATGGCCTTTTCTAAGGCTCGGGAGACATGTTGGGCTGTTTCTCCCGTCATAGCCATGGCCATAGTGGCACCTGAGAAGGTATCCTTAGTGACATGGATGTATTTTAGTTTGCCAAATGGAAGGAAATGGGTGACATCCATTTGCCATCGAGCACTGGGGCAGAGTCCTCGTGGATTTACTCCTTGAGGCTGTAGTGGGCCTAGCGGGAGGAAAGGGGCGCATGTGGTACAGCTACGGACCGGATGTTTGCATGTGGCTCTTGGAACTTCAGGGAGGAGTTGGTGAATGGCCTTTGCTGATAAGTGAAATCTAGAGTGTAAGGCTTTTGCCTGTGTAAGTAGATCAGATAGGACTGTTGGTATAGCTTGAATGGAGACTAAGCTGTCCGCCAGTTGGTTGCCTTGAGCAATAGGACCAGGAAGTCCACTATGAGAGCGGATGTGTTGTATGTACCAAGGATGTCTTCTATGTTGGAGAGTATTTTGTAGAGTCTTTAAGGCTCTGTCTAATATGGTGTCCTTTTGTTTTAGGACAGCATGTGGGATGACATGGCATATCTGTACCACATATTGGCTATCAGAAAAGATGTTGATAGAACAGTCTGGACAGTGTTGTAAAACTTGTAGCACTAGAAGCTCAGCTACTTGAACAGAAAAGGTATGTCTAGTAAGTTGTATTTTTGGGTGGTTATAGTCATGAGGGTGGTGAATTATAATAGCATATGTAGTTTTAGAAGCATCCATGAAAGCAACTCTGCTGTGAGGTATAGGGGTCGAGGAAGGAAAATGAGACGGCCTCATGAGTGGTAATTGTTGGAGGCCTTGAAGGGTACGGCTGGAGGGGTAATGATTGGAGGTTTGGCCAGGGATATGTAATAGCAACATCTGGAGGTCTAAGTTGTGCGGTAGGAGAGCCTCTAGTTGATTATTTGTGAGGGGGAGAGTATCTGGTTCACGTCCATAATGGAGTACAGCCAACTTTCTGAGTTGTGTTCCTAGGTGACAGATAATTGTTAGGAGTGGGGTAATTTTGGAGAGGGAGGAGTAGGCAACATGGGTCCACATGAGAGGGCCCTGCTGCCGCAGAACTCCCACTGGCATGGTTGGTGTGGTTAGTACAATGGCTAGAATTGGCTGATTAAGATCATGTCTTTCAATTTGAGCTTGTTGTATGGCTTGTTCAACATAATCTAATGTTTGTTGGGCCTGTGGGGAAAGAACTCGAGGGGAAGTAGGGTCTGGGTTTCCCTGTAATAGGTCATACAAGGGGTGCAGTCGATCAGAAGATAGCGCCGTGGCTGGCCGTAGCCAATAGATGACCCCACATAATTGTTGTACCTCTGTTAGGGAGTGTGATGGTTGTCTGAAGATCTTGGGAGCAACAGGGATGATTTTATCAGAAATGTGATGACCAAGATATGTATAGGTTGGTTTAATTTGGATTTTATCTGGAGCAATTTGAAGTCCTATTACGTTAAGACTGGCTAATAATTGTTGTAGTCCTAGTTGGAGTTGATGGGGGTCTGTATGAGAAAGAAGGATATCATCCATATAGTGGATACAATGATAGGACCCTCAGAGGGGTTTCATGGCGGTATCTACATACATTTGGCATATAGTTGGACTGTTTATCATTTCTTGAGGAAGAACTTTCCACTGATATCTTTCGGTTGGGCCCTGATGATTAGTCATAGGGACAGAAAATGCAAACCTAGGTCTATCCTTTTCATGAAGGGGGATGGAGAAAAAGCAATCTTTAATATCTACTACCACAATGTGATGATCTTTTGGTATAGCTGTGGGAGAGGGTAGCCCCTGTTGGAGTGCTCCCATCTTGATTATATGTTTGTTAATTTCTCTCAAATCATGAAGTAGATGATATTTATTTTTATCCTTTTTGTGGATTATAAATATTGGGGTGTTCCAGGGGCTAGTGGAGGGTTCTATATGGCCTAGAGAGAGTTGGTCCATGATTAGTTGTTTTAGGACAGTTAGTTTTTGGGACCGTAAGGGCCATTGGTCCACCCACACAGGTTCGTCAGTGTCCCAGGTTAGCCGTGTGGGCTGTGGTTTAACCACTGGAGCAATGGCCCCTATGAGGGGGGGAGTGGTTCAGTAGTTAATTTGACATCTAGTTGTGACAAAATATCCCTTCCCCAAAGGACTTGGGGCAAACCTTGTAATAACAAAGGCTGACAGTGTCCTGAGTGTCCTTCTTGGTCTCTCCATCTCAGCAGAGTTGCTGTCTGGAGTGCCATCTGTTGACCTGTGGCTCCTTGTACAAGAGGCCCTGGAATAGTTGCCCAAAATTTACTATATAGGTCCATTGGGAAGCAGGAACTTTCAGCTCCTGAGTCTATAAGGCCAGAGACAGACATTTGCTCTGCCTCTAGGGTTAATAGTGCCTTGTTTTGAGTGATGGGCACAGTCCATAGGATCTGTGAGGTGGTTTTTATTTCCCTCTTTTGTTGTCGGGCTGAGGGTTGCCCCTTTTGGAGTTTAAAGGGTTGCCCTCCTTGTCAGTTTTTGATCGGCAGTCCTTTGCCCAATGATATCCTCTCTTACATTTAGGACAGGGCGTAGGTGGTTTTGGTTTTATGTTTGAAGACTCTTGTCCCTTTTCAGGGCACTGTTTAGCAAACTGTCCGGGCATTTTACAATTGAAGCATAAAGGTAAGGTATTGGTATTTAATTGTAAAGCATTGGCAAGCGCCATCGCCAACACTTGAGCTCCTTGTGCATTAACTTCCCTGCATGCTAATATCCTACGATCTAGATCTGTATTTTTTATCGGGGCTTTTAAGGTTCTACATGTGGGGGTGGCTTCTTCAAAGATAAGTTGTTTGGCTAGGGCCTCCGCGGCGGCGGCTTCTGTATGATCAGCCTTTCTCTTACAAGATTCTACAACCTTGGAGACAAAAGAAGCAAAGTCCTCATTGGCTCCTTGAATAAGCTTATTAATTGGGGTAGTTGGTCCAGCATGGCAACGGTTAAATGCTTTTAAGGCTATTGTTCTCACTTGGTCAAAATATTGAGGCGGGCCTTGTGCCTGTACAGCAGGAGAGGCATATATGCCTTCGCCTGCTAGGCAGTCATAGTTTAGTATCACATTATTTCTCCGATTTCGGTCGGCTTGTTGTTCGCATTCATCTTTAAATATAGCCAGCCAGTCTAGGTATTGTCCGCCAGTAAGGACAGCTCTAGCCAGTTGTTTCCAGTCTGTGGGGCAATTCATTTCCATGCTAATTGTTTCAATTAACTGTTGTGCAAACGGGCTTTGAAGGCCGTCTTCCCTAATGGCTTCTCTCAAGCGTTTAAGAGTGGAATGTTCATGGGGATACCATCTTAAGGGGTGTGCAGGATTTTGATGTAAATTTACAGGAAACATATCATTTATCTCGGTTCCCCATTGTTCCCAATGTTTTGCTTGGCTATCCCTTATCTTGCAGAGTCCTTCATAATAGTCGCCCCATGGTTGAGTTGGTTCTCTCTTTCTTTCTTTTTTATTACGGTATTCCTCCCATGGATCTTTTGGGTGTATTGCCTGAGTAATGCCAGCAGGTGGCGCTATAGGATAAACCGGAGGCTCATCCCAGTTAAGCTCCGCCTTCATCACGGGGCAGGGCTTGTTGTGCGGAAAAAGAGGAAGTAGCCCCGGGCAGAGAATTTTCGTTCATTGCCATCTCTGGCTCCTGTTTTAAGTGGGCGAGAGAGGGATATATACCTTTTGAATTAGGCTGGGGAGCTAAGGGTTTTACATCATCCGGCCTGGGGGTTTCTTTGACACTTGGCTCGGATGGGAGGGGTGCCGGCAGGGAGAGGTCCCTCTCCAGCTGTTCCATGAGGGAAAGCTCGGCGTCTGGAGCTGCCGCCGCACATGCAGCGGAGTCCGCTAGGAGAGGGAAGGCTTCTGAATCCTCCCCAGTGATGATCTCTGAGCCTGTTAAGCAAGCTCTGATAGTAAGTAAGGCAGGCTGGAGCCCTACGGGAAAGATTTTTCCTTCGTGTTTTTCCGCTGTTTGGACCCGTTGGATAAGGCAGGACCATGTTTGTGGGTCCCACAGACTGGCAGTTTTGAGCCAAGGATTGAAGGCAAGGAGCAATCCCCAATATTGGGAGAGAGTTTTATAAGAGATTTTACAATGTCTAGCCTGTAAGAGAGCAGCAAGAGCCCGTGCCTGCGGTTGCTGCTCCTTAGGAAGGGCGGAGCCCATGTTGAGGGAGGGCCACTTACTGATTCCCGGGGGGCGCGCAGGGTCCCCTGCTCAGGCGCCAGTTGAGGTTGAACCTCTCGGGTGGAGGGACCTGGGCCCGTCGCAAGCGGCGGCACGGTGAAGACACAGACACTGGAGACCAGGATAATGGGGAGATCTGCTTTATTGCGGAAGTACCAGGCATTTTATAGAGCAGGCGAGGGGCGTGGCAAAAGGGGGCGTGGTTATGGAGGGAGGCACCAAGGGAGGGGCAGAGCGGGCACAGCCTGGGCGGGGCGACTCACTCCGTCGGCCGAGGACATGACGAGTGTAAGTCGGCTCAGACCCGCTCCTCCGCCACGGCGGTCAACCAGACCTCTGGGCCCCTGTTTCCCACAACTGAGTTACATTCCCAGACCTTTAAAAAATTTTTTTTGAGTTCTTTTCTTTTTTCGTACTAGGAATCAAACTCAAGACCTTGAGCTTGCCAAGTAAAATTTTGTTTTGAGTGTCAGGGTTTTGCTAGGTTGCCTGGGATGGCCTTGAGCTTGAAATCCTCCTGCCTCAGCTTCTAGGTGTGTGTCACCTTACATATTAATATTTGAAACAAAGAATAACCTAGGTACCAAAGAATATAGAACATAAATTTTTTTTTTTGGAATTTCTGATGGAGGGGCTGGGGTATAGCTCAGTGGCACAGCACCTGCCTGGCAAGTCTGAGGTCCTGAGTTCGATTCCTGGTACCAAAAAGAAAAGGAATTCCTGATGGAAATTGCTTTGAATTTATAAATTAGGAAGGCTTTCCCATCTTTATGATAGTCTTCCAGTCTATGACCTTGATATATTTGTTCCTTTATATTTTTAAAAATTTTTTTAACATCTTTCTATAAAGGTACATAATTAACTTCATAGAGATCACTTTAACAGTTTATGCCAAATATCCTAGACATATATATCTATATATTAGATATATATGTTTTAAATGGGGTCTTGCTATGTAGCTCAGGCTGGCCTTGAACCCACTTTGTAGCCCAAATTGGCCTCCAACTCTAGGAGATCCTCCAGCCTCAGCCTCTTGAGGATTATAACTGTGCACCACCATACCTGCCAGGCATATTTTCTGCTATTATAAATTATAGACTTAAAATTTTCCAGAAGTTGAGGCAGAAAGATGAGGAGTTCTAGACCAGCTTGGACTGTAGAAAGAGAACCTGTTTTGAACAAACATTCAGCCGGGCATGGTGGCACACGCCTGTAATCCCAGCACTCGGGAGGCTGAGACAGGAGGATTGTTGCGAGTTCGAGACCAGCCTGGGCTACAAAGTGAGCTCAAGACCAGTTTGAACTGCATAGTGAGACCCTATCTAAAAAAAAAAAAAAAAAAAAATCATAAATTGTTATGATTTGAAAAACTAATTATTTGTCTAAAAACACAATTTGTTTTGTACTGCTTAGTCTTGTATGCAACAACTTTACTGAACTATAGTTTTTTGGGGGGAGGGGTTCTGGGGATTGAATCGAGGGCCTGTACACTGAGATACATCTTCAGCCCTTTTTAATTGTTTAATTATGAGATGGGGGTCTTGCTAAACCACTAAGTAGCCCAGGCTGGACTGGAATTTGCAATCTTCCAGCCTCAGCCTCCCAGAGTACTGGGATTACAGGTGTGCACCACCATGCCCAGCATGTTTATTATTTAATTTTTAATTTGTTGTTCATCTCTATTTGCAGTTCATAATATCTGCAGGCCTTACGTGCAGCTCCACATACAGAACACCTCTTCGTTCCTCTTTCCACCCCTCCCCTCCCCTTCCCCCGACCCCGCTGTATCTCTTCATCCCCTTCCCATCTGAGAGTGAGCAATCCTTTTACTTCCTATTATCTGTCTTTTATTTTGCTCTTTATACTTTGGGTTTAACCACAATGGAGTATGAGTCTGTCATAAAGGAAGATAAACTTAAGTCATGTGTAGGAAAATGGATGTACCTCAAGACCACAATGTTAATGAAATAAATCAGACCCACCAGCTTAAATATCAAACTTTGAAAAATATGTTACAGTATTATTTTTTAGAGACAGGGTGCCACTGTTTAGGTTGGCCTTGCACTTGGGATCCTCTTGTGTTAGCTTCCTGAGTGCTGGGACTACTGCTATGTGCCATCAGACCCAGATTTATAGTTTTGTTTTTCCAAACTTGTATCCCTCCACCTTTCTTGTTTTACTTTCCTGGCAAAGATCTGTAGCGAAAAACTGAATGGAAGTGGTGACACTCATTCTTGTCTCCTGAATTTGAGAGAGTTGACACTCTCTGTTCATGTGTGATGTCTGCTTGAGGCTTGTGCTTTCTATTCATTAGGTTAAGCTAACTCCCTTTTAATTCTAGTTTATTAAGTACATAAATGTATTGAACATGTGTAAAAGAATGGGTGTGTGTGCCTATCAAATACGTTTTCTTCATGAGATTATCAAATGATTTTGCTGTCATCTCATTCAATGACCTACTTCAAACCTATGCTTGTTGATTGTTCTCTGCTTTCTACTTGTGGCCAAGTCCCAGGGACACAGCTACCCCAGTCAGATAGATCCACATGTACAGATGACAGCCAACTCTTCCAGACTTTTTCCGGGGAGAGGAGGGCAGATAGATGGGGCCTCCAGTGTAGATGATGTGTTCTGCAACCTCTGTTCTGGCCACAAGGGGTTGCTGCTTTCCTATAGAGCTCAACAGGCCTACCTGCTAAGGTCAAGAAGTGAAATGTGTTTCCATAGGTTTTGAAAATGTATGTTCAAAGATGGGTCTTTCTTTTTTTTTTTTTTTTTTTTTTGGTACCAGAAATCGAACTCAGGGCCTTGCGCTTGCCAGGCAGGCGCCTATGCCACTGAGCTATATCCCCAGCCCAGAAAATGTATGTTCCTATTGCAGAGTTCTTTTTTTTTTTTTTTATTGTGTAGATGTGGTAGTGCATGCCTGTAATTCCAGCCTTTGGAAGGCTGAGACAGGAGGATTGCTGCAATTTGAGTCAGCCTGCACTAGAAAGTGAGTTCAAGGCCAGCCTAAATTGCACTTTGAGTCCCTGTCTCCAACAAAAACAAAAAAACCTACACAAAGGGCTTAGACATAGCACAGTGTGAAGGCCCTGGGTTCAATCCCCAATATTTGAAACTATCAAAACACACCTCCAATTTTCTTGTGATAATTTACTACTTAATCATAAATCAACGCAGATCATCTCTTGCACATCATCTCTGTAGGCATGGCATCTACAGATACAACAGAAAATCATAGACATCACAAAACAGCATGGATACTATATACATATACAGATTTAAAGTTCTCCAAATTCAGTATATATAATAGGAACTTACACTGAGTTATGTATAAACAGTATAACAAACTATATACAGCAAATCACACTTAAGGGAGGACTTGTATTTGAGCCTTCTGCTCTGCTAACCTAAATTTCTTAATTCTCACATTGACACGAATTCTGAAAGAACATGCTGATTTTATAAAATCAAAACATTCCCCAGAACAACAAAACTAGAAAAGAGAACACACTTCAAAGCTTAAGACTTACTTTGGACATCATAGGTAGCCTTGTATAAACAAGGCCTCAAAAAATTGGTTTAAGACTCAGAATTGTTCCTCTCCACGGAAATCTTTAGTAAAAGGCGAAAGATTTATGCGATCTGAAGAGAAACCAGAGTATAGAGCCTTCTGCTTGTGACTCTCACCGGTTTAACTACAACTCCTGGTACGCTGATGGTGACTGGTTCTCTAAATACTTGCTACTTAAAGAGGTTTACTTGATTTATTCTTTATATAGTACTCTGTATTTTAAAAATTAGAAGCACGAGTAAGTTTATACTCTTGAAAAACGGCGCACTGTTTGCGGTGCATTATGGCTATGCAAATGAGACCTGAATAATGGCCCTGGAGACTCGGAGCCTCCCTGCCGCGGGCGGGCGGAGCGGAGCGGAGGAAGGCTTTGCTCCCTGGGGCTTGAACACAGTCACGGTGACGAGAGAGATTCTGATTTTGTGTTCCTTTCCCGGGCTGTGAGTGTGACAAGAAGAGGTTTTCGGGTTTTGTTTTGTTCTGAGACAGGCGCTCGCTAAGTTGCCAAGTGTGGCCTCGAACTTTCGACCCTCTTGCCTCTGCCCCTGTGTAGCTGGGATTAAGAGCCCGCAGCTAAAGAAGTTTTCTAATAAGTGGTGCGGGCGGGGACCGCAAAGGAATGCTCAGCGCAAATTCCATTGTCCCCGACCGTGGCAGGGAGCTGTGCGAATGGGAAAGGGACCTGAGGGAGCAAAGGCGCCCCCGAATTCTTTCTGTTCAATTCAGGGGCAGGCGGCAGAGGTGACTTTTCTTTGAACTATGCGTTCGTTACTTGGGCGATTTTTTTTTTTTTTCCTTTGGTTTATTTTCCGGTACGGGGAATCGAACTCACGAACTTCCGCTTGCCAGGCAGGCGCTGTGCGGCTGAGCTAAATCCCCAGCCCAGGCGATATATTTAAACACTGTAAAAGACAGGAGCTACGGGAGCTCCTGCTGTAAAGATACCGATGATGAAAGAAGGGGCGGGTCCCCAGCTCTCCCCGGCCCTCTGGGCTCCCCTGACAGCTCCTGCAGAGGGTGTCGGGCTCCACACAGCCAGAAGACATCTTCATTCACCTTCTCTGCCCCACTGGAGATTCAACCCAGGGAGCCAGGAGCTACATCCCCAGCCCTTGTTTGATTTTAAAGTTGATTAAATAATTGTTTATTTATTTTGTGGTACTGGGAATTTAACCCAGGCACTTCCCACTGACCTATGTCCCCCTCCCTTATGTAATTTTTACATTTAGAGACCGGCGCTCACTAATTCACTAGGCTGGGCTCCAACCTGCAGCCTTCTAGGCAGTCCCACCATGCCCGGTTCCCAGGCTTTTTAGCTTTTTAAAAAAATTTTGAGTCAGGCTATAGTTAAATTGCTCAGGCTGGGCTCGAACTTTATCCACCTTTCCTCAGCTTCTGGAGTAGCTGGGATTACAGCCGTAGCCCCTGCAGCTGGCTCTAATCAATGTGTTTGATACAGGAAAATAAAAACTCCCAACCTGAAGGATGTCTGGGACGAGATTGTGTTCTCTACAGTCGAAGAATGAATTTTAGGAACAATGGAGGTTAGAAGCAGAATATATTTATTGAGGGAAAGAAAGCTTCTGTCTGAGAGAGACAGAAGGGGGGTCCCGAGTGGGTTGCCAAGGACCCTGCCTTTTCTGGGGACTT